TAAAAGAAGTCCACGCTGACTTGCAGTTTCACATGAGGCACAAACAGGGGTCTCCCATGAAAGTCAGGTGTTCATTTGACCACCACTCAAGCTTCCTCCCTATTCTTTCTCTTCTCTGACGTTAAATGGCGGTTGGCAAACAGATTTAAGGTGCATTACCGCTACCTTCTGAAAAGGAGGTGGATCGGAACAGTCTCATTATATATATTGCCTCATACCCTTCAATCCCTGAGTTCAACTATAGTATTTCTACTGTTTGAAATACTGATTCTACTGTTAGTTTTCTACTGTTTTTCCTGCTGGTATTTTGGACAATAAATAGTAAAATATTGCATATTACATGTTACAATATTCACATATACCAGTTTCATGTTTTTCAATTAACCCAAGTGTACTATTAAGACCAGTGTGTCCAAATCTCATCTTTGAAATTATATCTTCTTTTTTTTTTTTTAGTTCTGCTAGTTTCTCTCATTTCTCTTACTTTCTTTTGGATACTGTTGTAAGGCCTACCTTTAGTTCCCCTGTTCCATTCCTCCTGCCTTTTCCTTATCATTTCTGATTTGGTTATACTTTAAAGCCTTTGGAAACACAGCTTGAAATAGTAAAAATGCATATATTATATCAAAGTCGAGTGTCTCATTAATCATCCACAAAAGTCTGAGTGAAAATAACCATTAATAACTATTAGAAAACCTGGTTTAAAAACAGCTCATTTTGCTGTTTAGACCACTTGCCAGGACAGAGTGGGCGTGGCAGATAACGCTCTGATTGACAGCTCCCTCGTTTTGATTGACATCTCCCTGGCTCAGTAATGGCTGCCACAAATTTAATCCAGCCGTACATGTTTGAGCCCTCTGATGATTCAGAGGACGAAGCAGAAGCTGAAAATGATTCCTTTCAGGTGGTCACTGAATGGTAAGTTTCAAAATGTTTTGTGATTCATATTAATGTTACTTCGTAGAATAGTTAGCATAACTTTTACATGCAATGTTACGGCCGGGCTCCACCGGCTGCAAACGTACAGCGTAGTGTCGCGGCGTATTCATTTGGGCTCCACTGACTGCGTACGGAAGCCACACGTAGAGAAGCCAGCGGGGTTGTTTACCGTTTGCTGAGCCGAGAGGCTGCATGTAGGCTGCATGAAATGTTAAAGCATTTTCCACCTAAATTATTATATATATTTGAGTTACGGATAAACAATAGAAGAGCCGCTTAAATAGAGTTGTTGCGCCGCTCTCGTTGCCGGTGGAGCCGCTGTAATTGATTAACGGGGGCGAGCTGCTACGGGACTCGCGCTGCAGACGTGCCCGGTTGAGCCCAGCAGTTAACTGAGATGAATGACAACGGGAGGCTAGCGCTTTGCCTTTCTTCATTGAGATACGTTTTCATTGAAAACATAAATCTGCTCCGTTGTTCTGATAATAGCCTTTTTCATTCAAACACATCCAGTCTTAATAGATTAAATATGTCTTTACTCTGACACACACATACCGACCGTCAAAACGGGAGAGACCGGTGCCGGCCGGCCGTCTCTCTGGCGTTTTACTGAAGTATTGGCCCGCCTCAAATAATGTTCCCCTCCGGCTAAAATTGTGTTGTTTCCCACAGCATCACCTCCGCGATTGGGGATATGTTTATGCGTAGCAAAGCTAACTGCTTGGGGTTGGGGTTAGGGGTGAGGAAGGGTGCACATTACGTCCCCTCCCCGCGAATCGACACGGGCACAGGGCCCGGGGGGCAAGCCCGGCCACTCACAAGCCGCCTCTTCCTGCAGCTCCATGAGATGCAAAGGCTCGGATTGTCCGGGCTCTGGAGCCGGTCAACCTGATTCGAGTGCTGCTGGGAGCCCGCCAGAGGCAGAGCCTCCGCTGGGTCGCAGCCGAGCGGTTCAGCCAGTTTATGATCTGTATTTTCTAAACATCAGACTAGAAAGAGGAGTTGGCTCAGACTCAAAGAGGCAGATTTAGCTGGAGCAGAAAGGTTTTGTTGCGCTGCCACTGGGGGGCGGGATGAGACAACTGACTGATGATTTATGATTGGTTTGGAATTTATTGCGTAATAAATCTCACCACATAGATAACCATGGCCCAATCAAACCCAATTTCAAGAATGTACAAAAACTTAAAAGACAGATATTTCGAATTTGGATGGAAAAAGATTTCTAATTGTTTTACATGTTTAATATTATGTACATAAGACCCTAAATTACATAGTTAGAAGGCTATTGTGGATTTGGGTTTCCAGAGGCTTTAAACTTCAGCATTACTATACTTAACTGTCGTATTTACTTCTGATTTTTTTTTGTGGCGACTAGTGCATATTTGTTTGCCAGTTTGTTCCCCTCTACCCCCATATGTGCTGGAATCCAGATGAATTTTACTAATATTCCAGCTCTCTCAATTCTAAAGACAGTTTGGACTATCTCCAGCAGGACGTCTTGTCTTGCTTTTGACTGCATACTCTTAAAACTCGTTAATGTGCTACTTGAATCTGATCCTATTAACACTTTACTTGGTTTCACATTTTCTTTCCATTTTCTGTGATAAAAGTATAACCAATAGCTCCCCTGTGAATACTTTTAAGTTGTTCCTAACTCTTTTATTTAACATTACACTGAAATCTGGAATTATGAATGCAACCCCTACTCTATTATTATCTGCTTTTGAAGCATCAATGACAATCTTAATATACTCAGCATAATGTTCATCTGTGTATCTACTACCGTGGCTTTTATCTAAACTTTTACTTTTCTTCCACTCTAACAGATGCATGTCAACAAGTATCTCTCCCAATAACCACAGTGGGACAACAGAGAATAGTACACTGGGGCTTGGCCTCCCCTATCCCAATTCCCTTCTCTATTGTCCAACTGAAGCTTTTGCCTCCCCCCATGTAGATTTTCATGCTCTTTATACTACCTATGGAGTTGGAACATTGAACAAACATTGACGTTGTTGAACCAGGGAATTCATATGTCCACGACGACAAAGGACCCTAATTAACTTTTTCTATTACCATTTATTCCGTGGTACCGGCATGCAATTAAATACAATAAATGCCGCCACCACCACGTAATGAGGTGTTAAGAGGTCATGGTCATTTTACATATTTTTGTTGGACCAGGTCGGTTATTTCCCCAGCCTGACATTCTAGCTGCTGGATGTCTTTTGCTGGGAGCCAGACTTGTACATTAAGAAATCTGAGGGCGAACTCTATCAAATGTGTAACTTTACAAATGATAAATTACATTATTCTGACGGGATCATCGAATGAGGTTAAATACTGTGAAACACAAGTGTACACGTTTGAATATTCATGAAAATTATAATTAAGTTTTAGCACAGCTTGTTGAAGATTTCATTATTTTGGTTCTCCTTTTTCAATTCTATTGCATCTATCACATTTGAATCACAGTTTGTTAGGTTGATTAAAAAGCTTTATCGTGTCTTTTCTCTGTGACGTACAGTCTCATTACTTGTTCTACAGTACAAGTAAAAACCCAACGAGGCTACAGATAACTGCTGGTTTGGTGATTCCTTGCTCAGTGAGCTTCTTCAACAATCTCCACAGAACGTCTTTCATGCTGACAGACCAGATCACCCGGCTTATGCAAGGGCTGAGAAGCAAGAAACTTTAATAAAGGAACTGCATCTATCCTGTGTGGTGATGCTAAATGCTGGCTGAACATTTATAATATACTTACATCAGGATGGTCACATCAGTGCGGAGGCACAAAGATCACATTACCACCTGTTTACTTCTGTGAACCTAAAGAGCCTTATTAAAGACAACATTGCCATTTTTGGGATTTTCTGTCTTATACTTACTCTGAGGTCAACCTACATAGAGAATATCTGTTTGATATGATGCAGTACGTCTTTTAGAAAAATATGTGACACAAAGTTTCTTTCAAGTTTTTAAATTTGCATAGATAACGTTAGAAAAGGTAGAAATGTAAAGGCACATTACATTGTTTTAAATATCTCAACTCAGAGTCTAATCCTGAACTCTGAGTTGACTTAACCTGAGCTGGGAAACTCTGAGTATCCAGTTCCAGAACAGCTGATCTGAATTAGTTCAGTCAACTCTGAGTAGGTACACCTTGACTTAAGCATGTGCACAACCACAATAAAAAGCCATCATCAATGGAGCCCCGATACCTTGAGTCACCATGGCAACCGGAGAGAAAAAGCAATCAACTTATTTTACACCTGTGGAATTGGAGGTGCTCATGAATGCCTACAGCGAATATGGGCACATATTTCGTAAAAACTCTGAACTGACATCAAAACTTGAGAGCCCTGCCATTCATTTACATTTAACCACACTTAATTAAAATCATAGCTTACAGATGAAAAAGTGGTAGAGTGGTTTTGAATAAATTCTGATTTTCATGTAGGTGCAATCTCACAGGGGAAAAACACACTTGAGAGCAGCTTAAAATGAAATATATAAACATCATTCAAACAGGTAAGGCATATTTGACTTGGCCATGACTGTACCTTTCTTTAGTTTTATTCATATTTGATTTATTAAACAGAGTAGCTTAAATAACCTCATTCAGTGACTATTTCATTATGTGCTGTAGGCCACCAATATCATATAAAAAGCTACCGTGCACAAAAAAAAACTGATGAGAGCGCACGTCCGTGGTGTGTCAGATTTGATATGTGTGGCCGGTAAATGATTGAGCCTCATGAAAAACGGTACCGTTCAAACAGATACTCATTGGGGAAAGCCAACACATCTAAACGGGGTCTGAAGATCTTCTCCCAGCGTAAAGCATTGCGAATTAATTCTGCCTCGATATTGATCTTATTTCCTACATACGAACAACCCATGTCTGTCTGACAGCTTGCTTCAGGCTCGGCAGTAGGGAGGAGACAGGGTGAACTCAGGGTTTCTTAAAGAAAACCTGCCAGCTAGCAGGTTAGGTTCACAGAGTCAGTTGCCATGGTGATTGACTCTGAGTTTGACTTACCTCTCTTTCTGGAACTGAAAACCCAGAGTTTCCCTCATTTCGGGCTTAACATACTCAGAGTTTTCACTAAACCCACTTTCTGGAATACCCCTCAGGACATAACAGCTGGGAACTTTGCTGTCACATGACAACACTGAATAATAAACCCTCCTGTAAACATTCTATAGTCAGGTCAAATACCACCTTTTAGGTAAACGCCTAGAATTACTTTTTGAGAACATTGGGGACCCAGGTTTGGGTCCCCAATGTTCAGGTATCTGCGAATATTTGTGTGTAAATGTGTGTGCTTGTGCCTCAAAGCTGTTTGGCCAATCTCCAGGTGATGATGCTTCCTAAAGCCAGCCCGGCAACAAAGATAAGGGTGAGGCCGTAGGTGTGAGAGCTCATCAATGACACCCTCTGCATGGACGCCACCGCCAGCTCAGAGAAACTGTTGATCTGTGGAGAGACAGTTCTGATTATGATCATCATAATCACCCCTGGAGAAAATAATTCAGGAAATCAGTATGGAAAACATTTTTGCAATTAAATGGTCAAAGGTCAGTAAGTCAAGGACAGACTTTGCAAGCATCGGGCTGGACCCACTTTGCTGCAGTCCAGCCAAAAATCAAATGAAAATAGTTTTATCTGTACTGTTGTATAATGTCACACCGTGAGACTAAATGAACAAAGGTCTTAGTGATCTTTAAACATAGAACTAACATAGTAAAGTGCTCTTAAGGGTATAAGATGGATGACATGAACGGACAACATACCCATCCTCCATGTTCCCGAATCCAGCCCAGTAGATGGTTTCTGAAAAAATCCACTGTCCACATCAGAATCTCCCTCACTGACTGAGGGAGATGAGCCTCCGCCATCTGATGGACAACCAAAACAGGTTCATAAACATAGTGAAGCTGTTGCCAAAATCTGTATTTATTCCTAAGTACACTGCTGGATCACTATCATATGAAGCCATGGCAGTTGACAAGGCTTTAAATATCATATATATTGCTGCAGAAAGAGCTACAAATTCTAAAATGGTGACGCTTCACACATGTCTTCAACCTGGCAGCACAGAAGATCTATAAAATCAACACAGTTTCAAGGTGAACACCCAAGATTAGTGTCGCCATTCAGTATCTGACCAAATGTCTTCCCTTCTGTTCCTGAGTTATAGAACAATAATGCCCAGAAAAGTATATTTGCAGAACATTATGATGTTGCAGTGAGGTTGGCCATTGACCTTTTGGATATAAAATGTCATCACTTCATCATTTTATCCTATTGGACATTTGTGTGAATTTTTGTCAACATGAACATAGGAACTCCAAAATCTAATCACTTTATTATTGAGTCCAAGTGGACTTTGTGCCAAAATGTGAGAAAATTCCCTCAAGCTGTTCTTGAAATATCATGTTCACAAGAATAAGATTGATGCAAGGTCATTATTTAGTTCAAGTCAACCTTTGTACCAAACTGTAAGACATTCCCCGGAGGTGTTCTTGAGATATTGCATTCACAAGGATGGGATGTGCAGAAGTACGGACGAACAGATGTACAGATGCATGGACAGATTACCCAAAAACATAATGCCTCTGTCCAAGGCTACCGCCAGCATGGAGGCATAAAATAAAAAAGTACTACAGTAGATAAACATAAGATAAAAGATGATGATGTTGACTGGTTGATGTTGAAGTGTTCTTGCGAGACTGCATTCGCTACAATAAAAAAGAATAAGGTCACTGTGACCTTGACCTTTAACCTTCAAATTCTAATCAGTCCATTCTTGAGCCCAGGTGGACATTTGTGCCAAATTTGGAGAAATTCCCTCAAGGTGTTTTTGTGATACTTTGTCCACAAACATAGGACATAGGACTCGAACATTGGACGATTGTGCTGTCTTTGAAGAAATTCCCTAATGTGTTTAATGGTATCAAACATCAAGAAAATATCAAGTACCACCTAAGATTTTCCCATCAAAATCCATTTTGATCTGTGGCAAAAAGAAGCTAACCAACCTTGAGAGCCAGCTTGCCTGCAACGTAGAAGAGCACAGCAATCCTCTCCCAGGTGATTCCATGTTCAAACACTTTGTCTGCCACTTGCTTAAAGCAGTCCCATTTAGAGCCGGAGGAACAAGCCATCCCATCTATTGCACTGCAACAGAGACACATGAGAGCATGGGGGTGGTTAAAAAAAATAAAAAATAAAAAAATAAAAATTAACACATTCAAGACCACTTACATCACATGTCACAGTACTGTAGAGGTTTTCAGTACTGTAACATGAATGCTGAGATACAGTGGCTCAGAGACTCACTCTTGGAACTCCTTGTCGTCTTGGACCCTGTCACCAATGATACGGATCATTTTGCTGAGCTGGGTCACAATCTTCTGCTCCTGCTCAGTCCTTACTGGGACAGCCAGCTGAGTGAGAGACGGGATGTCTTCTGAGGGCACATCCTTCAATTCCTCCTCTATGACCCTACAAGAGAGCAGGATGTTAAAACACAGGCCCTTTCCCAAATTGACCCTTCTTATGTTGTGTTCAAACCAGGCTGACACACCCATTTCTGAAAAGGCAGCACAAACTTCAGTGATCCTTTCCACTGATTTTCTTTCTCCCTACTTCACACAGTTTATGAGTGGTGTTATTTCCTGTAAGAACATAAACTGTTGCTGTGTTTTATTTGAAATATAAATTAAACAATGAATCATATTGTTGCTGATTAATTTTGTGTAGCTCATCTTATAGATTAATTGACTTATTACTTCAGCTCTAGGTTCGATATGATATGACATGTGGACCCATCCCGATTGCATCAGACAAAGGCAGCAATAGGACCCTTTTACTTATTTTACGGTAAGAATTATTTTAAATGTACTAGCAACTAATCCGTTGGGAAAATGATTAATCAACCAATCAGCCCTACTTAAGTGTTTTTCATGTGTTTTCATTGTTTCATTGTTGTTGTGAACTTAATATATGCGAGTTTTTGCCTGTTGATCGAACAACATGTTTCTCAGGCTCAGGAAACATGAGATGATGAAGATAAGGGACTTACTCTTTAATGAGGGCCTCTCCTATCCTTGCGTCTGTGGAGGAATAAGCAGCATGAGTGAACTGGAGTTACACGTTAAAAAATGTGTAGACTACAGTAAATGGTTACAATGCTGTCATTGTGTTATTATGCAGTAACGTTAGACACAGCCGCGGGCGGTCAACAAATGCAGCCATGAAAAATACCAATGACAATCCAACTTTGATTTGACTTGGACTAGAGGTAGTAACGAGTGCCTCGGAGAGCTTACCGGACATGCCGTTTCCTTCACTCGCCATGTCTCAAAGAAAACAGCAATAATTAATTAAAAAAAAAAACTTGTAGAGAAACTCTTGCTCTCTCAGGAACTCTGCTTCCCTTCCTTCAGTGTCAAATAAAACTTCAGGCGATGATGAACAAAGCCACCTGATAAAACAGCATGTAGGTTATAAAGAACAATGCTGCACGAATAGATAAAACAGAAACTGTACATTACTGCTCGAAGAACAACTCCAGACCGTAATGGGCGGCGCATATCAACTGTCCGTGACTTAAATACATCCGTGTAGAAACCGAAACTTGATACATCTTATGTACATCATGTACAGTTTTCTTTATTTTCTTTACACCGGACATTCGTCTCACTTTTAGTTTCAAACCGCACTGTCAGTCTTTAAAGTGCAAATGACTGAATGGAAAACTGATTAAATAGATTATGTGGAGGTGAGGGGCGGGCAACACATAGGCCTACATGAGTATTACTAAGCCATTGTTTATAGGCTATTAGCTACAGAAAAGAGCAGGAATAATTATTCATAAAGTAGATCCAGTAGAATACAACAACAGACTATTGAAACTTAAAGAGTTGAGTTACGGATGCTATTAAATATGTATCGAGCAAAATGCAGAGTGTTACCAGAACGTTTACAAAAGTTGTTTGTTTATATTTCAGAGGAGCATAGAGGAAAATTTCACTTTAAGTACCAGTTTGCACGGACTACATTAAAACAGAGATGGATCTCAACTGCAGCTAGATGGGCAAATGACTCCCTCCTGTGATGGAATCAAGTGGGTGAGAATGCAGTGATCTGATTTATCGAATAGATTTTGACTAAAGTTTTGCTCATTTGAGTAGAGTGAAATACAAAGCTTATGTCTGAACAGTGAATTACGCACAATAAACTTGAGTTGTCAGAACCTGATCGTGTGAGAGGATGTCATTGTAGCTCCTAATTTCTTTTCTTTGTTCACAGATTCAGCATTCAAGATTCAGATTTGAAGTTCAAGATCCACATTTACAGTTTCACACTGCATGTTTGATACCAACGTTCTGTTCCATTTTCCTTTTGAATTAAAGCTTCCTTTTCTCTTCTCTTCTGGGTTCGTTTTATTTTTGTTATATTAGTAAAATTGATGTAGCAGTCCCTGCAATAGCCAGCATTAGCTGGTATAGCATATTCAACAGGTTCCTGGCTGTTAAAGTTAAATCTCCGCACTGCCTCTTCAGCTATAAGACTCCCTTCAGTCCCTAAATCTTTCCACTCAAACACTGATTTAATAAATTTTTGCCATCATGTGTCTGTAAAAGGAGTGATTGGTCCATCTTTCTGAATTATATGCATACAGCACTCCATTTCTTATGCTAATGTAATGCTAGCAAACAAATAAAAAAATAGCAACAAAGATTAATATAGTGGCGGGAGGAGGGTCGTTTTTATTATGTTTCATCATTTTGACAGATAAATGACAGGTGAAGTTCCCAAGCAAGATAACAGACCTCAAATTTGTGAAATCAGATATGTTTATTTTGTATAAAGCTAACAGAGAAAATATACATGGTACCTACACAGATTGTTTAAAAAAAGTCTGTAACGTGTTAAGACCACGTTATGTAGCCTATTAAAGACATAAAAGAGCCTTAACAGGCTATGTATGTGTGGCTCTCGGTGGCTCTACGTGCAGCGCCATTTTTCTAAGGGTTTTTTTCTTTTTTCCAAGCGTCCCATTGGATGATAACTACAATCACGTCATGCATGTCGGACCCCGGACGTAGCTGTCTGCTCTGTTTGCCAGAAAAAAGGTAACGTGATAAAGTTACCGATCTACAAAAATGTGCAAGAAGTACCGGTGGCAACAATTTTCTTTTGATTTATTGAAAACTTAAGAAGTTGTCAACAAAAATCTGGGTCCTCCCCCGATAGGGATCGTTTAAATACAAGGAATCGCGGCTTCGGCCCACCGCCTAACATGACAAAAGCAGACAAGAACTACCGAGTGCTGTCCTTGGTGCTGAATATGCAAAAACAAACAAATGTCTATACTCCAAAACTCACTACTTCTGACATGACGAACCAAGACAGTGTAGCCTAGCCTACATAGATTAAAAAAAACAACATCAGCAGAAAAACAGAAGTCCTGCAAACCAACAGCAAGCGGCGATCACCATGGCCAAATAACGTCGCATATCTGTAACTCGAAAAGCACTTGGAGAGCGCAGACCTCCGCCAAGCAGCTTGGATTTCCCGCCATTTTATTATTTTATCCACTTCGCTTCAACCGATCACCACCAAAATGTTATCATCTGTACCTTGTCCCATTATCAACCTTTCCTGAAAATTTCATCAAAATCCGTTCAGAACTTTTTGAGTTATTTTGCAGACAAACAAACAAACAAACAGACCAACGCCGGCGAAAACATAACCTCCTTGGCGGAGGGAATAAAGAAATAAAAACAAGGCAGCTGTTGGCAACTAACGCTGTTGCTGCTGCAGCTACTATTAGGCTACTACTGTTATCCAAACTAAATTAAAGGAAGCAAAGATTGTTTAACCTATAATTCCACATTATGTTGCCTTCTTTCCACAGCAAATAAATGATTTCCTTTTAACGAATGGCTCAGAGAAATGCCGTCTAGCAAAGTTAAATATTTTCACCACCATTTTAGTTATGAAATAGCCTTACATATGATAT